CCCCAAGATCATGACCTGAGCCGAAAGCAGAGTCTTAACCAACTGGGCCCCCCAGGCCCCCCAATCCCTTTGAGTTTCTAATTAGAATTCAATAATACTTTTTTTAGTTCATTAATACTTTAACAGAGAAGAACTGATAAATTTATTTGAATATTTAAATCTACTCTTTAAGAACAGATCATGTCTTCATTTGTTCAAGTCATCATTTATGGAAGGAAAAATTATAAATGTTTAAAGTTTTCTTTATACATGATTCATTTTATTTTTTTTGTTGTTGATATTTTAGTAAGATCCTTAGTCTCATATAATAGAGGATGTAGGGATTTAGAGAAAACTATTGATTTTTTTTCTCACACTTATTCTATAGCAGCCAATCGTCTGAACTATTGGAATTTTTTTGGATGATTTTCTTTGATTTTCTAGATTAATTTATATTATCTAAAAATAATAATTTTGTGCTTTATTATCCTTTTTATTGATAGACCTTCTGTTTCTGCTTTGTATCTTGTATTGCTCTGAAATGCAACTGTCAGTGATAATAACAGACATCCTTATCCCATTTTTTGGTGTTAAAGGGAATGACTAGAGCTTTTCACAATTAAATAAAATGTTGACAATTGATTTGAGGTAGGGACTATCTTGTTAAAGAATTATTCTTCAAGTCCTATATCACATATAGTTTTAGACATAAACAGAGGTTTCATTCTATCATGGGTTTTCAAAATCTATCTCAATGATCAACTGGTTTATCATTATTAACTTCTTGCAAGAATTATGTTAACATAATAAATAAACCACCCTTACATCCCTTGCTGACACTAATTAATTACACTGGATTTTTCTTAAATACACCAAGGAATATGCTTTGTCATTATTTAATATGTTTTTCATATACATTCCTAACAACTGTTCTGAGGTTTTCTTTGGCTACGGAAACCTGTTTAAAATAGTTTTTTATCTGACCCTAATTACAAATTAGCAAATAATTACAAATTAGGGGGGACATGGAGATCTTTTTCCCTTATTTATAGGAAGGATATTGTCCATCACATTATATGCTGCAAAGCAATTTATTATTTTAATATATAATATAAAAAATATAAACTCCTTAAAGATTCCTACAGATTAACCACAAAAATATGTGACCAAAAAAGCTATAAGAAATTAATGTTAAAGTAAGTTAAACATTCAATTCCATAATTGTTTATCTGTTAAAACTTCTTTTTTAAATGTATGTTTAAAATTTCCTTTTGTGTGTCAATTTGGTAAAATATAGCTCCCCATTAAAAACTGATTTGTCTATTTTCTTTCATTTGTCAAAAAGAAGAATGCAAAGCATGTATTGTTTAAAAAGGAGTGATGAAGAATTTGGGAAATATTGGACCGAATAAAACTTAATAGGTTTGCTTACTACAGAACTTCTTAGAATTCTCTGAGAGTCCTCTGAATCTTTCAATGAGAGAGAGATACAGTAAGCCAGCAGCGAGTCCCAAACTTATTGACTAAGGAACTATTTTGCCTTGAGCTTCTTGCAGAGGGAATAAACTTTGAAGAATGCCAATTTACACCATACTCATCACAGAGAAACAAGTAGGTAGGTAGATACAGACATAAGGTATTATAGAGAAATTTTTGAAGAATTGCTTACAGTGTGCCTATGTTTTACCGACATTTTAAAATTAATCACTATCTGTCTAGATTTAAACTTTTCTTATAGTTTTAGAAAGCACTGTGCTTTCTTGACTGAATGTCCTTCTTCTCCATGATTGTGAGTTAAAACACTCAGTCACCTCTGGTTAGTAAACGGCTCTTCCTCAGAGTTCAACATAAACAGAGTTATTTCCTTTTTGACCTTGCACCCTGGTCAATATTTTCCCTTAGCCATTACTTGAATATTCTCTTTTTAAAAAGGGCTGGAAGTGGTGTGGATCGCCATTTAGGAAAGAAATTCTGAATGAAGACTAAAATAAACCGTGACATATCAGAGTTGAGAATTCTTCAAAAGATTTGACCTAAGATATGTCTGTGTCTAACGACATAGACACATTTCTTACACAAAACTACACTGCCCATGAGTACAATAAAAGGATAATAAAGCACAAAATTATTATTTTTAGATAATATAAATTAATCTAGAAAATCAAAGAAAATCCCTTCTTAGCTAAGGACTTTAAAATGTTCAGCCAATGATATACCAAAGGTAAAAGCCGAATTATTACCATCTTTGGAAGACTGGGACCCACTTGCAAACACACACACACACACAGACTCACATATACATTCATACAGATATGCACATATACCCTTAAAATTCACTTAGGTAAAGCAAGTGAAAAACACACAAAAGGGGAAAAGATAAACATTGCCTCTTTCTTAATTTTACCCAGCCTCTACAAATCTGAGTTTTTAAAAATCACATTCTCCTATCCCTGTAGTTCAGTGAGATCCACCTTTTTTTTTTTTTTAAGCTTTATTCGTTTATTTTTGAGAAGGTGGGGAGGGGCAGAGGGAGAGAGAGAGAGAATCTCAAGCAGCTCCCTGCTGAGCATGGAGCCTGACACAAGGCTCGATCTCACAATCCTGAGACCATGACCTGAGCCAAAACCAAGATTCTGATGCTTAACCGATTGAGTCACCCAGGCGCCCCTCAGTAGGATCCACCTTACTGTTGAATTATGAATGCAGCTTATTTAATCTGTTCACATCCCTTTGTATGTCACCAGCTAGAAAGGGTCATTTGTTCAATGTGTCCAAGTGGCTTTCCAGTAGCACAGGCTCTTTTGACCTCATTAGACTTAACCAACTGGGTCATGCACGACCTGGAATGAGGAGCCTCCTACTAGTCACAGGAGAGAATACCAACCAAAATTTAAATACCCTCACAGAGTTTTGTTGCTTGTCAAGAAAAATGGGCCTGAACTTTGGATCATCCTTGGTGTGCTCATAGAGCCAACATTTCTGAAATAACAATCACAGAGTAAAGCACTAAGACCAAAACAGGCAAGAAGCTCTGAGAGTCTACTGTGATCCATATAGTCAAAGCAGGACCTCCACTGATGTCCGATAAAAAGGCCTGGGTCTTGGACATGATCTCTGTGGCCCTCGATTCTCCAGCCATTCCAGAAGTTGGCCACTCAGGCAGAAAGAACAGAAAGCCACAGCAGCACATCACATGCTGAGAAAGGAAAGGGCCACAAGATCAGGAGCTGTGCTCTTTTGCTTCAGCAGACATGGTCCTCATTCCCTTATCGCTGGCCCCTCTCAAGATCAATCCAATTAAAAAATGGGCAAAGCACCTGAACAGACATTTTTTCGACAAAGACATACAGATGGCCAAAAGGCACATGGAAAGATCTTCAACATCACTCGGCATCAGGGAAATGTAAACCAAAACCACGATGAGATATCACCTCACACCTGTCATGGCTATTATCAAAAAGACACGAGATAACAAGTGTTGGTGAGAATGTCAGAAAAAAGGGAACTGCATGCACTGATGATAGAAATATAAATTGGTGCTGCCACTATGGAAAACACTGTAGAGATCCCTCCAAAAATTAAAAATAGAAATACCACATGATCCAGTAATTCCACCTCTGGGTATTTACCTGAAGAAAATGAAAACACTAACTTGAAAAGTTGTATGCACTCCCATATTCACTACAGAATTACTTAAAGAGCCAAGATATGGAAACAATCCAAGTGTCCACTGAAGGATGGGTAAAGAAGATGAAATGAAATCTTGCCTTTTGCGGCAACATGGATGGACCTTGAGGATAAGTATTATGCTAAATGAAATAATCAGACAGAGAAAGACAAATGCTGTATGATCTCACTTATCTGTGGAATATAAAAAACAAAACAAACAAAATAAAACTCATAGATACAGAGAACAAAATGATGGTCGTCAGAGGGGAGAGGAAATGGAGGGTGGGTGAAATGGGTGAAGGGGGTCAAGAGATACAAAATTCTAGTTATAAAATAAATAAGTCATGGGGATATAATATACATCATGGTGACCATAGTCAATATTCTAGTGCATACTTGAAAGTTGTCAAGAAAGTAAATCTTAAAAGTTCTCATCACAAGTAAAAAAACTTTTGTTACTTTTTATGATGACAAATGGTAACTAGACTTATTGTGGTGATCATTTCACACAAATATTGAATCATTATGTCGTACACATGAAACTAATATAATGTTATTATGTGCCAATTATGCCTCAAAAAGATGGAAAAAAAAAAAATCTTGACCAGAAATAGCCTCTTGGTCTGGAGGAATCCAATCCTTACGCTTCCCCTGACAAAAATGAAACAAAAAAATCCACAATTATCCTTTTTGTGGTTTCAGCCAAGGCATTTTGTATGACCTCTCCACACTATGAAATGCAATTGATGAATTATCTAAGCGACTCTAACCTGCACAAATGTGCAGGCAGGAATAGTGACTCCAGCCTACCCAAATGGTTTGCTCTTGAAAGGGCAAGATGTGTTGGAAGCAGCCACCATCCCCTCACATTAGGGAAAGGGCCAGAAGTTGGGGGTGGCCATTTATCCACAGGGGTACAATGATCTACCTTGGAACTGGCTCTGCAACAGAAACACTAGTAAGTGTGATGCATTTAAAGGGACAGAGTGGTTTACATTCTAATAGGCAAATGGCAAATGAAACAGTTTATGTGGAAATTGGACCCACCCAGCCCAAATCATTCATATACCTCCGCCTATAGATTCTGGAATCTTAATTCTATCCACATTTCTGGGACACAGCATAGTCCTCTGACTACAGCAAAGGGACCTTTCTTTCCTCACCTACCAGTATATTCTACCACTTTCTGCAATTGCTACACTCATCTCTACTTACCCTGGCTCTCTCCTTTCTGGGCCTTCTCAATATAAATCCTTCTCCACTTCACCACAGACCACTCCAGCTTTTCAGAGCCAGCTACCAGCAGCTGGAGTTCTGAAGACAGTTCCAAGCAGCTGAAAGGAGAGGCTCACCTAGAACACTTGATTGAGGACATGTCACTGGAAGGCTGAAGGAGCATCCACATGGGAGGAAAATCCGTATCAGCACTGCTCATAAACCTGGAAACAGTGAGGTGACATGATCACCAGGTTGAACACTTGACCTCTGGTCAATACCCTATGTGACTCTTCTCTGCCCTGACACTTTTCACTGTTTTAATTTATTTCAATGAACATAACCAAGTGTACCTATTATATATACCAGGCCCTAGGCTAATTGTGTGTTGGGGGGAGGGACAAGATGAAAAAGACCTAGTTTCATAAACTGTCAGCTCTCTGAGAGCTTTATATCCCTGGTATCTAGAGGAGTACCTGAACCGTATTATATCCCCAGTGTCTAGAACAGTGTATGATACACAGTAAGCATCAAATGAATAGCTGCTGAATCAATGAAATGATCATAGTTATTGCCTTATAGCCACTCACATGGAATGACTTTATGTCATGCTTGCAGATTCTACTTAGCAAACAGAAACAGGGCTCTGCTCTGCTCCACTGGGGATCAGGGGCAAAATTTATGTCATCAAAGAGGAGAAGCTGCATTACTAGTATCATCTTTGCCTCATCCACCACCATGAAACTTCACAAACTGAACCCCATACACTGCATCTCCTTCCTCCCCAGGCCTCTGCTCTCTTTCCTTCGCTGAGGAGCCCTGGGAGCTGCAGCTTCCGGGCCCCAGAGCTCCATCCAATAGCTGGCAGTCAGAAGGCTGCTCCTGGCTGCTCCCGAGGCAGGCCCTGAGCCAGTCAGTAGGGAGTCGGGCTCCCTGGGCCTGTCACTCAAGAAGAGTGATGGGGGCTCACTGACAGCCCCCTGATGCTAGAGGGTAAAGGTGCCCCCGTCTCTGATGGTACACCAGATCAGAGGGAGCAAGGCCTGCTCTTCACAGGTCTCCTCCCTAATCCTCCCTTGCCTAAAATGTCCACATGTGCCTCCGGTGACTTTGTTCCCCCTTGCTTATTCACAGAAGACTAGTTGGAAGGGGATGGGAATTTGGATGTGGATTCAGCTATAAAAAAGGCAAGCAAGAAATAGAAGACAGTGAAACCGCTTTCCAGAAATGCAAATAATTTCTAGCAAGAAATACGGATGATATTTTTTTGTAAGTTCAGTGAATTGAAAAGATTAGAACTAGAATAAGACTTAAGAAGAAAATCTTTCTCTAAATCAATTTCTGGTTGCTCAAAATACCTAGTACATAGATTATAGTATGAAAGAAATGATGGTGACCGCAATGATGTTAAAATATACATATATTTTTTTATGTTTTAAATAAATTATATGCTAGTAGAATTCATGAATAGTACAGAATATCTTCCAATTGTTCTACAGGTCTGGGTTGTGAGTGTTTTAAGGTTTGGCCCATGAGCAGATCACCAATTCCTACACAGATCTTTTAATTTTAATTTGCATTGTGTGTAAGAGACTGGCTTTGCAGTCAGGTGACCGGGTTCAAAGTCTCATTCAGCCACTTACTATGTCATCTTGAGCAACCTTCCTGTGGTTTTCTTCATCTATAAAATCAGAGATAATGATAGAACCTACTTCGTGGGATTGTTTGAACATTACATGAGCAATGTGTGCAAAGGCTGAAAACAGTACCTGGCACAGAATCACATGCAGTAAATATTAGCGATTTATTTTTGCTAATTAATTCTACTCAAATGATAAGAAAAACAAGAAGCGTTTTACATCAACTACAATGTCAAGATACTTTTAAAATGGGATATTATTGTCTCATTACATATTTTTGTCATTTTCTGAGCTTTTTTTGCGATGAGCATATAAACATAAAATGTTCTACAACTATAATATGTAATTAGAATAAATACATTCGAGTTATGGAAATCAGTTAAGCTTTTAGAACATGAATTGGGCTTTAAAATTTTGGTACTGAAGAGACTGAGAGACACACTCAGATTTATAGCCTATTTTGGCAGGAAGACATTAATACTGTTTATTTGAAGTCAAGGTCAATGGTACAAATGCTGGGGAGGCTTGATAAACCAATTTGCTAAGAATATGTCATTACTAACAGTCCCTTTCCTGACTGCAGACAATAACATCGATGCTGAACCTAATTAGGGTTGGGACCAAAGTAGAATGTGTCATCCATCTAGAAATTATAGAAGAACTTACCATTTTCAATGTCCACTGCCTCAAATTCTGTATTTTTGTGTGAACCAAGCAAGTAGCTAGGTTTAAATAAATCTGTCATTTTTCAACTAGTCTTTCTGCAAAAATACACACAAACACACAATACCAAATTATTAACTATTAGTTGTATATGTAAATTCATTGAATCACCTTAAAAACTACCATTTTTATAAAAGCAAAATAGTTAAAATGTAATGTAAACACTATTCTCAAGCATAAGCAAAGGGGCACCATTCTTATATCATTTTAAGCAACAAATAAAAACATAAAAATATCCCATATGTATTCTCACTAACTCCTTGTGACTTCTTACATCCGAATTTATTTTCTTCATTCACACCATTCTCTTTTAATTACATGATAAATAAATAATATCTGAAAATAATTTTCTGAGACTTATAGTTTGCATTTCTAAAAAACTAAATCCTAGAAGGTTTGAAAATATTTGATGGGGAAATTAGGTATATCTCAATTTGAAGATGTTTTGGAGATAAAATATTGAATTTCAATCCCGCTGATGTTCCTTTTGCTACGATTTAGCAACCCATTTTTTCCCCCTGAGATTTCTACATATATATTGTCAGGTGGCGGTAGTGGTGATGGCGGGGTGGTTGGTGGTTTTAAGAAAACATTTTTTGTAGACATGGTTCAGGGAACATTTATTTAAAGCCATGTATTCTGAGAAGCTGAGTTATAAGATAATTGCTTTGTAAGGAAGAAAGCAGGATGTCTTTATTGACATAAGGAACAACCTTCACAATGAATATAAAAGAGCTTTGAAAGCCAATCAGCCCTACACCAGGTTGGCTATTGCTGGAGGATACATTTGTCTGTGATCCCATTTTAGACTTGGTACATCTGCCCCAGAGCTCCAGCTCACAGCCACCAGAGGTCAGACTTTGACATCTGTGCGTAAGAGATACTAAACTTGAGTCTGAGACCATGGTGTCTTCTCTCCCAGAACCCCATTTTCCTCAGTTTAGCTTTATCACCAACAACTATAATATAAGAAGGTTATCTGTAAACATAAGAAACACATGTTTTACCTTCCCAGGTAGAAATGGCCTCACGACAGCAAGAGAAAGGAAAAGGCGGAAATTAAGAAGACAGTTCTTTTAAGGAGAGAGTTCTGGTACTGAGGAGGAAGGGCAAAAAACCAAACAGCCTACAAATCATTTGAAAAGATAAGGAGAAGACAAAAAATCTATACGAGCAATCGGATTACCACAACTGTATTAAGACACCTGTTTTCATTTGTGAAAATGCATCTGACCTTCACCACAATAACAACAGCAGCAATGGTGGTGGTAATGATGGAGGTGGTGGTTGGGGTGGTGGCAGTGGAGACAGGAGTGATACAGCCAACATCTACTGAACGCACTACTTGAAGTACTTTACAGACTATTACAATCTCATTTGAGGGATGAGGAAACCGGGCACAGAGGATTTTCCAATAGTTACCAGGAGCCTGGAAAATGTTTCTATCTTTTGCGACCATAGTCTCACATTTCAGAGTTTGGACAAAGAAAAGAATTCAACTGGAGGGAAGTCAACAGCTTCCAACTGTTGACATGAAGATACCATATTAATCCCAGGGTTATTTATAACAGCAGAATTTGGAAACAACCTAATATCTAGTAATAGTGGAATAACCAAATAAAATAGTAAATATTATGTAGTCATTACAACTATAATTATGAAGATTGGAAGCAATAAAAAAAAATGTTTGGTGAAAAGAAAAAAGCAATTGAAGAAACTGTGTCTGTACTGTGAATAAAACTATGTAAATATGTACATATATGGAAAAGGATGAAGAAATCTGATAGAAAAACAATGTATTTGATAAGGCAGAGTTTTATAGGGATTGTATATAAATTTTAAAAGTAAAAATCCTGGAAAACATTTTAAAAATATTGCCAAAGGATAAAATGTGAAAATTCTTCCTTGTGAGAGCTTAAGCAAACTCAGTTTATTTCACATAGTTGGCACTCTCCCAAGGTTCATCTACAAGCCACATCCAGGCCTTTCTACTTACCATGTCCAGGATGGCCAACTACATCCTTCAAAGCACTCACAAGACTCAGCAATAGTAGTTACTGCTTTTGTTAGTAATAATAATAATATACCAAATGTGTATAGGGCTTTACAGTTTTAAAAAAAATGATTTTGCTTAGCTTATTTCAAGTCCAATTCCTTATGAACAAACATTGCCATTTAGAATCCAGTGGTGCTCCCAGGAGAATGACATCTCAGAAGAGAGGAATGACAGAAATTCAGGTGGGTATAGATGCACTTTGGACAACAGAGAAGCAACTTATATGGTAAATAAGGCATAGCCTCACCTAGCCTTTCAGCAAACCCACTGCATCCCTAAGTCACAGATACAATATGCTGTAAATATGAACCATCTCACAGGAGCATCCTTACAAAGGACAGCAGGATTTCACAAGATATAATGGGTATCCCCTTCCACTGTGAATTCCTTCCCCTATCACACCCCGTCTCCATAACAATCACTATTTGTGGTTTCGAAAGCTCTGTATCATTGCAGTCACTCCAGACCAACTGAATCAGTGCAGTGCCTGAAAAACTGTATTTTCTAAAAAACTCCCCAGCTTTGAAAAGTCAAAACAATGTATTTTTTAGAAAGCAAATCCAAAGAGGTAAAAAACTGTACCCAACCTTTAAAGTTTTAGCCTTTAACCCATGCCTAGGATAAGTCCTTCCCTGGATAGGAGCATTCCCTTTAAGGAATCACCTAACAATTAGGAAATAAATCTACTTAATCCATACAACCTCCAGCTGTTGGTCAAAACCCACAGCTGCTCTTCATACCTCCCACACACTGTCCACATCTGTCCACATTGAACACATGCAAGCTTAAAATGCCTTTTACGTTACCACATTATGGCAGAGAACAAATCCAGAAATGCAGCCACAGCACTACAATTAGAAAGAGGCAGAAAATGCAGCAGTAGATATTCCATGTATTCACTAAAGCAGGCAGCTGGTTTTGTTCAGATAAGATTTGGGGAAATAGATAATTCTAGAAAAACAGAAATAAAGACTCTGAGCTTAGAAAGGAAGTACAGGTCAATATCCCCAATGAGGGCGCCTGGGTGGCTCAGTTGGTTAAGTGACTGCCTTCAGCTCAGGTCATGATCCCAGGGTCCTGGGATCGAGTCCCGCATCGGGCTCCCT